TATATGTATATATATATACATATATATATATATATACATACATATATATATATATATGTATATATATATATGTATATATGTGTATATATATATATATATATAAAAATAAAGGAATTTACAATTAAAATAGACAGGTAATAGTTATAACTTGTTATAACTAGCCACGTTCTCCATTTATATTATTGATGACGAAATGTCATATAACCGTTAATGTATTGACGGACGTAATAACATATTACAAAACGATAACTCATCGACAAACATCCTGCTGTCGTGAGTTGTTGAGCAACCCTCTGGACGCGTCTCTGGATCTGCTTTGAGATGATTTACGTTCATTGCGTTTTCATCTCGACATCGTTCGTCAGAGCTCCGGAGGTTGCCAAGAACACAACCTTCTTCAGCCTCCTCCTCCTCTTCTTCACGCTCCTCTCCTTCGCTATAAAAGGCGCTGAGCTGCTTCCATAGAGTCAGTGCGAGTCACCAGCTGCCAAACAGAGTCCACTACTCACACTTGTTTGACTTTCAAGGAAAATACTCCAGCCGCGAGACAGCCTCTGGAAAAGCTCGTGGAGAAGACGCACACTAGGTAAGATGTGTTGCTGACACTGTAGTATATGGAAGGTAAATTAACAATATACATTGATTAACTGATGCATTTAGTCAATTAAAGCTGGCTGTGCAGAATCAGGGGAGGAGTTGCTTTTTTCCTCCTTTTTTTGGTAATGATCCATTGATAGTCAGTGTGTAGAATCTAATGCTCACTGATCAGCATCAATTTGAGAGCACGTGTATTAAGATGCATTACAGGCATGATTTCATGGTTCAAAATGATTTTGAACTTTTATGCTTGTGCATAGGAAAAGCACAATGTGCAAAACCAACCAGCATTTTGCCATATAAAGTGCAGATGGACCACCTGGCAATTTTTTATCTCCTGTTTACATGGAGGTGCCAGGCTGGCGTTTTCCTGGCTGCTTGGTCCGTCATGGTAGTATAAAATTCAGAAGAGAGATGAGATGGCACTGAATGTGAATTAAAAGAAAGAGAGAGAGAGAGAGAGAGAGAGCGGCAGCTGGAATTGAAGCGGTGCCTGTGTTTACTCAGACCAGTGTTGGATGTCAGTGCTCTGCAGAGAGAGTCAGAGACGGGAGAAGTAAAAAAACGTTTGACTCATCGGTGTTTAGAAGTGGCCACTAGTGTTGTTCACCTCCTTCCCCCCCGCTAAATAACTAAAATTCACTTGCTCTTCTCTCCCATTCTCGCACCCACTCCATCTGCTGTACGAACCTGGATAATTCCATTCCCAGAGAAAGTCAGTCCGGGATAGAGAAAGATCTGCTTTGATTAATGTGTGAATGGCACAGCTGCTGAGTGTGGATCTGTTCTGCTAATGAATTATCCATGGTCACCTCAGGAAATAAATGAGTTTGACCTACAAAGTTGAGTTTATGGATAGATTGTGAACCTGCAGAGATCAAACAGACCTGCTGGTCCATCAAACTGAACAATCTAATCGAAGGAGATCAGGCCTAGTGATTTGATCTTTTGAGCAGTAATGAAGATTACAATGGGGTTTTTGTTATGTGAGGCTTTGATAGTATAATTGTTCTGTAATGATGGGGCCTTCGGATTGACAATTAATTATGGCATACAATAAACATTCTTCTAATTGGATCACAAACTATTCATTTGATGTGGATCGTTGTGGGCCGCTTCATGTCCTCATTGGTGAGTGCTGCTCCATTGAGGTTAGATGGCAAATTTCATCTGAGCAATTTACTGCAATTCTGCAGAGTACAAAAAGGGTGAATTAATCAAGAAACCTGTAATGTCCCTCATAATTCATCTCAATTTCATAAGAAACAACATTATAAATGGACATTATTATTATTAATTAATTAATTAGCATAGTTCTCATTGCTGTAATGTGAAAAAACGTCTCAGGTTACTTATGTAACCATGGTTCCCTGAGTAGGGAACGAGACACTGCGTCCTCTAGGGGTCGCTATGGGGAACGCCTCGTCGTGACCCGTGTCTGAAGCATACATTGAAAAAACACCAACTCGTTGGCCGGCGACAGCCATGACGTCACTACCGGTGCGACTATAGTATAAACCCTAGAGGACGCAGTTCGAAGTTCCCATGAAAGGGAACTGTAATATTGTAATTGAATAATAAAAATGTATCATATCTAAATAATCATGGTATTATCTGTTGTGCTTGTATATGTATGGTGATTAAAACATTTATTTCAATATTTGTACTGTAATATAGTGATACAGTTATCATTATTTGGTATTACAGTAAAGGCAATCACTTTATTTCATGCATATTTAAAAAAACACAATATGTTTACTGTGATAAAGTGATAGAGTTACATTTTTAGGTATTACAGCAAAGATAACCACTTTAATGTATGCTAATTTAAACTGAAAACATTGCAATTCAATATTTTTACAGTAATATAGTGATACAGTTATATTTTTAATTATTGCAGTAAAGATAATAATCACTTTAATTTATGCTAATTTAAAAACATTGTATTTCAGTATTTTTACAGTAATATAGTGATGCAGTGACATTTTTAGTTATTACAGTAAAGATAATGACCACTTTAATGTATGCTAATTTAAATTAAAAACATTGTATTTCAATATTTTTACAGTAATACAGTGATGCAGTTACATGTTTAGGTATTACAGTAAAGATAATAACCACTTTTATTGATGCTAATTTAAATGGAAAACATTGTATTTCAATATTTTTACAGTAATATAGTGACAGTTATATTTTTTAATTATTGCAGTAAAGATAATAACCACTTTAATTTATGCTAATTTTAAAACGTATTACAATATTTTTACAGTAATATAGTGATGCAGTGAAATTTTTAGGTATTACAGTAAAGATAATGACCACTTTAATTTATGCTAATTTAAATTAAAAACATTGTGTTTCAATATTTTACAGTAATATAGTGATGCAGTGACATTTTTAGGTATTACAGTAAAGATAATAACCAATTTTATTGATGCTAATTTAAATTGAAAACATTGTATTTCAATATTTTTACTGCAATAGTGATACAGTCAATATTAGGTATTACAGTAAAAAGGAGAAAAATTAATGCATTATGGTTATAGGAATTTGGGAAGGAATGTGCTCAACAGTCATAATAACCCAATTAATCTTATTTGTCTTAAAACTGTGCTTGCTTTACGCAAAATGACTTACTTTGGGGTGAAATGTAACCTGGACTTGTTTTTTGTTAGATTCACCTAATGGACAAGCATGAGTTTAAACCAAGAAGCACTAGATGGATGGATGCGTCTCATGTCGTTCCAGAATATCAACCCTCAGATTCTTCACTCTGATTGTTGTTATTGGATTCTGTATGTGTTCATATATTTGTGGTGTATGTTTAGTCAGGATGCAATAAGAGTGACTAATGAAACCAATTTAGCAAATTCCCCTTTGAAGCACTGATTTCTCTTTGTGTGTAAACACATGGACGTGTGTTTACTATCCAGCGTTTGCTCCGACAACTTTCCCAACACTTGTCCTCATGGAAACCATATTTCCTTCCAGATTTTTCAGAACAGAGCCCTGAAGACACGCTCACACAAGGCAGTCTACTGTAGTCCGACCCCGAAAGCATCACTGCTGCCATGCACAGGCTCATTTCCATTGCCCTGCTATTCCTGGGTGCCAGTTTGGCTGCTTCCCTCTTCTTTCCTGACTACCTGGAGCTGAGGCAGATAATGCAGCGCTACCAGGACGAGCTGGAGCCCAACAGCACAAAAGCCGATGCGCCTTTACGCACTCGCAGAGCCATCGGGTGGTCGGACAGGGAGGAGATCCTGCAACTGCACAACAAGCTGAGAGGAGAGGTGTACCCGACCGCCTCCAACATGGAGTACATGGTGAGAATGGAACAAAGTTTGAGTCATTGTTCACTCACAAACAACTCTTTTTATGATTTACTGTAATATTGAGGGTCTGTATAGACACACTAAAATGAACTGAGCTGAAAACTCAGGAGGTTCTGTTCCAAAACCTAGAGAGTTGCCTTCATAGAAAGCATTTTGAAAAGACTGTTTTAAAAAGTATGGAATAAAGTTATGCTGGCATCTAAGATCTTATTTACGTTTAAGCTGCTGAAAGAAACTTTAGGATGCGACAAGCAGAAATCTTTCACCCAGGATGGCGAATAAATCAAGAGAATTATTGATTATTATTAATAATCAATAATTATCTTGATTTATTTGCCATCTTGGGTATTAATAATTTATTAATACAAAAATATTTATTCAACACCAAAAAGTATCAAATACAATCTATTTAAAAATGCATTATTTTTTATTTTTGTGTGTGCTACACGAAAAAGAAATTGCACTTTAGCATGTCTTTTAAAAAGGAAATTAATATACATTAAAAGAATATACTTAAGTGTTAATTGAATGTAACGATTTCAGAAACTTAAATACATGTTAATTGCAATAAAATGAAAATGTATTATAGTTCAAATGTATATTCTGTTGAAACTGGTATAACATGTATTTAAATAAATTTGTGATTACACATTTGTAATGATGAAATTGCAATTTAGTACATTTAAAAAAAATATTTACTTTAAATGTTAAAATGAATAACACAATACATTTGGAATTAAAATCCAGTGCTTTGCTTTAGTATGTTAGTCAACACATAAAATGATTGAAACATAATGATATAAAATGCACTTTAAAGTAAAACTTTAATTTATTATTACATTATTACAAACTGCACTCTTTAAAAGTGTACTTAAGTGTGTTAAGAGACAGTCATGAAAGTGTCTATTTTTAAGTACACTTAAGTGGCCTTTTATTTGATTAACATTGTCTTATCTGCAAGTATTGTTTTTAAAATACACTTTTATGATTTGAAGTGCACTAAAAGTGCACATTCAGTACAACTAAGCACACTCCCTTTTCACCAGGGGTTTTTATTTTTATTATTAGATTATCACACTGTTAGCTTAGCAACATGCTAGCATTCAACTCTATAGGAGTTAATAGTTTGTCTAGTCTCCCAGTGCTGTCTATGAAGAGTCAAATCAGTCACTTATGAGGCTTTATTTCAGTTCGTATACTGCTTTAGAAAGTAACTGTCTGTGTAAACAGCAACACTAGTCCTTTTAGTCTGCAGCAAAGTTTTTTTTTAAATATCGACCAAACATGTCGAGAGCTGTACAAACCAACACTCTGTTCTGCGTTAATGACGCTGATTTGTACTAACTGTATATTGTGTTAGCAGCAGTCATCGTTTTTTTTCTGGTGCAGTAAATATCTTTAGGTTTGTGTAGGCGCCAAATACTGGCTTCGTTGGAAGAGACATGTTGAGTTTACAAGTGTGGTGAGGTGCTTTTTATTGTGAAGACAATTACTCTGAGGTTTAGCCATCTGCTGACACAGGAGCCATGAGACAGATAGAGAACAGAGCCAAAGATTAGTGACATTACTGGACCAGAGATGAGGCTTCAGTTATGTGACTAAATATGGCAGCTATGCAGCCTTCAGTTGTAAGTGCTAAAGGGATTCCCTTGTGAAAAAGAAGTACACTTTAGCATACCTTCAAAAAGAGTACTTGTTATGGGAAAGAATATACTTAAGTGCGTACTGAATGTAATGTTCTTGAACGCTTAGTTGCATGTTAATTGAAATGAAATGAAATAGTTTAAATTCATATTAAATGCAATTAGTTGAACTTAAGAGTTTTTAACCAATTTAAGAAATACTTAAGTACGTCTTTATAGGTAATTGCACAATTATATCTATTTTCTTTGAAATATGGTTCAAGTGTACTATTGAATGTACTGACAAGCATTTATGGTAAACTGAAATATACTTCAATGCCGTTTTTATTAAAGCTTGTAAGTAATGTATTTAAATCAGTTTGTAATTACACATTTGTAAGGACAAAGTTGCAATGTAATACATTTAAAATTTATTTTAAATGTAATATTTAATAACACCCTACAATTCAAATCAAGTAATCGGGTACTTTACATATGCTTTAATATGTTAGTCAGTACATGAAAATAAGTGTAATTCTTTAAAGCATGACAAAAGATTATTATAACATGATAATTTAAAATGTACTTTAAAGTAAAACTTTTAATTTGACATTATTACAAAGTGCACTCAAGTGTGTTAAGAAACACACTTTTAAATGTGATATTAAAATAAATATTAAAATGTACTCTAAGTACACTTAAGTGGCCTTTTATTTTATTTTTTTAATATGCTTTTATGATTTGAAGTACACTACAAGTTCACATTCAGTACAATTAAGTGCACTAGAAATGACAATTCTATCATCATTTACTTGACCTGGCAAAAGCTCTTGGTTCTACTAGTAGATGAGCATAACTGGATACACCTGCATAACTTTTACACATTTAAAGGCCTCAATAGTATTCCATAGAAAGGCATTGTGGGAAATCATGTTTTTAAGGGAAAACCATAGGTTTTTTAAGTAATCATAGATGTGCTAGGGACCTATAGAGAGCACAGTCCTGCTTTATTGCTGTTCCCCGTGTACCTTTGCGCATGGTAATTGAACATGAGTTTCATGTTGATGTAGTGAGATTTTAAAGGGAAAGATACAAAGAGCAAGGGCTTATGGTTAATGTCTTTGAGAAAGACAGGAGTCTACCACAAGCAGGGCTTTTAGAACCACTGCCAGGCCTCAGCAAACAAGTAAAGGTTTCAGAAACGTGGCTTAGTCCCAAACAGCACCTTCAGAACTGAGGTTACAGAATGTGTGTGTTTGTACCCATCATGCAGTTGGAAATTTACTGAGAGTTCCTCAGAGGTGAAGAACCCTGTTCTGTGGAGCGAAGTGAGTCCTCCTCCCTACAGGTGGAGAAATAAGCTGTGGAAATTTGTCTCATTTAACCTTGATTGCTGGGGATTTACAATGGATGTGAGCCAAGCTCTGATGTGCGTGCATGTAGCCAATATTTTAGTTGTATTGGGCCTGATTCCCAGTCCAATAGTGAAGATGAAGAGTCAGAGGAAGGCAAAGGGAATTATCTGGGAATAAAACTCAGCATGTTCAGTATTTTGTTAAAGTCTCAGTGCAAATATATGGGAATTATGGACTCTGTGTGTTCTGCTGGGAGTTTTATTTAGTTTGTGTGTGTATGACCAGGTTTGGGACGATGAATTGGAGAAGTCAGCAACCTACTGGGCAGAACAGTGCCAGTGGGAACATGGACCTAAAGATCTACTGATGTCCATCGGGCAGAACCTAGCCGTGCACTGGGGAAGGTATGAGTACAGACACATTTAGAAAGACCATATCAGTCTGTTTCTGTAATGTAACCAGTCGTGCACACAGTCATGGAAAACCTGGAAATATTTGGAAATTTTAAAAATGTGATTTCCAGGCCTGGAAAAGTCTCTACAGATATTATTTTTCCTAAGGCAAGCAAAGGTGTTCATTCAGATCTGGAGACATTTTTGCTATATTTTAGACTTTTTTTTTCAAATGTTTTTCTTATTTTACATTTACTCGTATGCATTTATCCAAATCAACTAAAGTTGCAGTAACATTTAATAAAATTTTGCAGTCAAAAAGGGTCCATTGTCCATTGTCAATAGTATAGAAACCCAATTTCTTATTTTCTAAAAAATCCAAACTTTTTCCAAAAATTGTATGATTCACATTTTATTAATTCATATGAAATCAGCACCTTGCAATATAGTTTCCCATTAGAAGTCATGACCATTTTACTAGGTGGTGATTTTGTATGAATTTGTACTGTACAATGTCAATCGTATGAAAACACATACATTTTTTTTTTTAAAGTAAGCTTTTCGGTCCATCTCTAACCCCACCCCTAAAAATAACCATCAGGGGGGTATAAGCAGGTTGTATGAAAACGTAAAGATGAGATCGTATTAATTCCAAAGCATAATATAGTTATGAATTGCCACGAGATTATGTTGTAGTGTAGTGATTCATGAAGCACAGCTTGCACAGAAGAAGTCAATTTCCAACCATGCATGTTTATCAATGCTGCAAATAAGCATGACCAACTTGAACCTGTTGCGAAATCTACGAGGGGAAATATTTCGCCCTCATCACACAGAATCCTATTGAAATGGCTGGTTTTTAAACACGAAATTTAACCTTTATATTGCAGCAAAAGTATACAATTGATCCGTTTCTGCATTCACTGGGAATCAAACACACGACCATGGCGCTGCTAGGGCAATTCTCTACTTTCTGAGCTGAAATTAACACATTTTAACTAATTAAAATCGATCAATTCTAAGTTACAACATACAAACTAAAATCCACCCACGTGATCCCCAAATGATCCCCATGCTGCTCTTTAAGTTGCTTTGTGTAAAAACATGCATTTTACATATTAAACACTATTGATGTAAAGAGTGTAAGTTACTGTGGCATCATAATCATATTATTTATCGTATCTCTCTCCTGATAGGTACCGCTCTCCGGCCTACCATGTGCAGGCCTGGTACGATGAGGTGAAGGACTACACCTACCCTTACCCACATGAGTGCAACCCCTGGTGCCCTGAGCGCTGCTCTGGACCCATGTGCACCCACTACACACAAGTGAGTGAGAAAGACCAGTTTACTTACAGTTTACAAACTATTATCCCAGTGGGACTAAACAACATGACGTTGTTGTTGAGGTGTACACGTGCCAGCTAGCATTTCTCCTCACCAGCAGAGTTTAATAAGTAGCATGTGTGACCTGCACTGAAACAGAAGCATCTTTAAAAGCAGCATATGGAGTGCAGCCTTGGACACAGGCGTTCATTAACCTCACACAAAACAGTGTCATGTAACATGCATGTAACATAGCCCCAAAATGTATTTGTACACCTAACCTAAAATAAATAAATAAATAAATAAATAAAATAACATAAATACAGTGTGACTGTCATTGCATCATAGCAGTTTTGTAGATGCCACTTGATTTGATATTATATTGTCTAATTCTCGTATTATAAATTAAACGTAAAGGGAGAGTTCACCCAAAAATGCAAATATTTTAATGAAAATACTACATTTTTAATATTCTCTTTTTGTCATTTTTGTCCATCCACTGAAAGTCCAGTGAGGTTTGTTCTTGCGCATCAAGCATGTACTGTATGTTTGAGATCCTTTTTACCATATTTGATGTGCTCTATGTACATTATGTACATTGATCAATGTTTATATGTGAATTAAATCTGTTCATCATATAAAGTGATAGTGTCTCTTCAGAAGACTTGGATTACACAGCTCGATTCATATGGATTACTTTTATTGTACTTTTTAAAGTGTTTAGGTTTTGGTTGCATGGACTTTCAATGGACAGAAATCTTGCATATTTCATTAAAAATTCAAAAATTAATTTAGTTTGCATTTCAAAGATGCACGAACGTCTTAAGGGTTTGGAATGACATGAGGGCATGATGACAGATTTTTCATTTTTTCATACTTTATGAAAATCATACTTCAGTTTGGGGAACAATTCTCACTCTTAACTAACTATTAACTATGATGACTTTTGCCTCAATAAATCCCTAATTTGCTGATTATTAGTGGTTAGTAAGGTAATTGCTAAGTTTAGGTAATAGGTATTGAGTAGGATTAAGGGATCTAAAATATGGTAATGCAGTATAAAGCATTAATATGTGCTTTATAAGTACTAATAAACAGACAATATGCTAGTAATATGCATGCTAATAAGAAACTAGTTAATACTGAGAATTGCACCCTAAACTAAAGTCTTACCAGTTGTCCAAATACTATTTAGGGCCACTTTTATCACCAGTGGTTTTCTGTGTTTCTGTTTCATTCTACACTAACAGCTCCTTTTTGAAAATGGTATTTGAAAAAGTAATGTGGATACTGTCAAAACATATTGCACATGCCAGCTCAAGCAGATGCAATGCACAAAGAAAAGGAGAGTAGGAAAGAGAGACCAACCAAAGTTCAAGAGAGACAACAACAGAGAAAATTGGGGACAAAAGGAGGGGTTGAGCAATAGCCTCATGTCCTCTTAGGCTTTACTTTATCGCTGAGATGAGTTCATGAAAATACACATTCGCTCAGCTCTGAAAGCAGGTCACAAGCATCTGGAAGCCGTTCCCAGACTCCTGAATCATTTTCCTGTTTGACCCGAATTCCTTTGAAGATGCAGAATGCAGAGTCGTAGGGGATCTGCGCCAAATCTCTGCCGTGATTCTCCCCGTTTCCCTCCTCTCTCACGTGCTGTATGTGGGAGAACAGGTCTGGAGGCCCCACGACCTTCTCGGTGCCAGACGATCCCTCAGGGTTAAGCTTGAGTTTGTGTTTTTTGAGACTGATTAGTTTGCTATATCATTGTCCCATGGCCAACACCGTCTGCGGCCTCTGCAGAGGAAGTGCATTCCCAAGGGAGCATTGAGACGTGCTCCCTCGATTGCGTTCTGCGGGGTTAGATGCAAACCCACTACAGTTTAACTCTATGTATGAAAAAAAGTCTGAGTAAGCACTTCCCTTTCATTTCACAGTCAAATGGTTTGGCTCGTGCTGCAGGGCTGCACCCGGTGAACCATATTGTGTTTAAGCGAATCAGTGAGGGCCTTGACCGCAGCTCAATGGGCTGCGCGCAGGCATTACTTTGTTTGTGTGGATAAGAGTGGATGAAGGGAAGTTTTTCAGGAAACTGGCCCGGTCACACTTGAGGTGGAGGTCCTTCCGCCCTACAGGGCAGAATGAAAGAGGGCAGTCTCTATTCACGGCCCCCGTGGCCCCATCAATCTACTGCTTCTGCCCCAGAACAGAGACCACTTCCTGCTGGGGAACACTTCCTCCTCAGAGGGGAGTTGATATGGATGTCTTTTTTTAAGCTTTTGACAACAACAGCAAAGAGACCTGCATCTTTCATGCATGCCAGAAGAAAAAAAATTGCTATCACTTTTTAATTAGGCATCTTACTTAGGTCAAAAAAATTATTGTTTGGAACATTATACTTATTGTGTTTATGTTGAATTGCCAAACATGTTTGCTAATATTGAGTTAGGATACAGGTAAGACTAGGCTCATGTTTTGTTGTATTGTTAGGTTTAAGGTTGGGTGAGCGGTAGGGGTAAGGTTATCAGTGTAATTACTACATAAATTAATTACAGATGTAATTACATCCCTGCTGAAAAAACAGCTGAAACCAGCCTAAGATGTTTGGCTGGTTTTAGCTGGTCTTCCAGCCTGGTCATAGCTGATTGTAGTTTTCGCACGTTGGTTTTAGAGGGGTTTTGACCACTTTCTTTTGCTGTTCAGGCTGGGAGACCAGCTAAAACCAGCTAAGACCAGCCAACCAGCTTAGGCTAGTTTTTTCTCTCTCTCCACAACAAGTGCATTGTATCAGAAAATTACTTCCTTGATTCTAGTGTCTTGTGGTTGCCAGTTGGAGTTGCTAAGGTGTTCTTAGAATTTTTAATGCAATGCTAGATAGCTGCTAGGTTGTTTCTAGGTGGTTGCTAGGGTGTTATATATGGTTTCTAGGTGGTTGCTAAGGTGTTATAAATGGCTGCTTACTGGCTAAAGTCATAAGAGCATTTAGCACATTGCTAGAATGTTAAAAGTGGTTTCTATGGTGTTTCTAGGTGGTTGCTAGAGTGTTCTGGATGGTTGCTTACTGACTCTAATTGTAGGAGCGTTTCTCATCGCTGTACAGTTGCTAGGTCGTTTCTAGGTGGTTGCTAGGGTGCTATAGATGGTTTCTAGGGTGTTTCTAAGAGGTTCCTAGGGTGTTATGTATGGTTGGTTACTGGCTGTAGTCAAAAGAGCCTATAGATTTAGCTTGGGTCCATCTTCAATGTATGGTTCTATGGGGTTTTTGTTCATTTTATCATTATCCTATTGAAAACTGTAATGACAAGATTGCTTAGAAAAGAAATAAGACACTTCTATTCAACATTCCAGATGACTTACATGTCAAGGTTAAGTATTTATGAACAAATATCTAATCCTGAGCAAACACCACTAATAATAATGTATTTTTCTTCATTTGCAGCTGGTCTGGGCCACAACCAACCGTGTTGGCTGTGCTGTACACATGTGTCCGCGTATGAACGTATGGGGAGAAATCTGGGAGAACGCCATCTATCTCGTCTGCAACTACTCACCCAAGTAAGACCAGCTCTTTCTGCTGATGTTTATTCATTTAACACCAGCTGGCTAATTAATTACTATTCCCGATGATGATCCTTTGGAATAAAACTTACATCCTTGAAAACATGGAGGCTATAAACAAAGATTCATCCTTAGAAAAATGGAAAAGTAAATGAAGGCTTTTGGGAAAGGAAAACATGGGCAGAATGTGTTATTCTTTTCCAAGCTAATGATTTAATTTGGCAGCTGGGGATTGTTTTTCCTGAATCATTCTTGAGATCCGTGAGAGTATGTGATAATGTGTTTTGAGTGCTCAGTCAAATGTGCAGATTTGGCAGTCGTTTCCAAAACCATGCTGAACCCGTGCCTTTTTTTTTAGGGGAAACTGGATCGGGGAAGCCCCGTACCAACACGGCCGCCCCTGTTCCCAGTGCCCACCAAGCTATGGAGGAAGCTGCAGAGACAACCTCTGCTACAAGGGTGAGCACTGATAGAAGAATGATTACAAAGGTATAACACATGGAAGTGTGAGTTTTTTGTTGTGATTTTGTTTTTAGGAGACCCTGAACGTCATGAGCCTCCAGATATGAATGAGGTGGAGAAGCCGCAGGAGCCAGTACAGCCTCGGACGACTCCAACTAAGCCTAAGCCCAAACCCTCTTCCCCAAAAAAACCTGCAAATGCCAATCCTTCCTCAACCAAGACTACAAGAACAACCTATCTAGGTTAGTGTGAATAATATTATTTGAAGTAATTAAAAACAATTAAAAAGTTCTATTAAAAATAAATAGTAATAATGTTTTTATTGTTCATTTGCATGAAATAATGAAAAAAAACAATGTAAAAATGTATTATTATTATTATGTATTTTTATAATTTTAAATTAATGAGCATTTTTAGTATTTTACAATTATTTAAATAATGTAATAATGTGCAATGTAAAAATGTATTATTATTATTATGTATTTTTATAATTTTAAATTAATTAGCATTTTTAGTATTTTACAATTATTTAAATAATGTAATAATGTGTACATTTATCTAAACTATTTATGATAAAACATTCTAAATTTCAACTTTTTTTTATTCTTTTGCCTTTCAGCACAAAATATTAAGTGTGAGACAAGAATGAGGGACAAATGTAAAGGAGCGACCTGCAACAGGTCGGTGTAAAGGAATTTGTTATTTTTTTTAAGATATGATAAGTTCTGAAAATTTTAAATTTTCTTATCTTTTTAAGGTACAACTGCCCAGCAAACTGCTTAAATAAGAAGGGGAAAGTGTGGGGAACATTGTATTATGATGTTGTAAGTGTTACTTTGACATTTCACCTGGTTCTGTTTAAGTGGGTGATGTTACATTTATTTATTAATTCAGTTTTTTTCTATTATTTTAGCAATCAAGTATTTGCCGTGCTGCTATCCACTATGGAATAATTGACAACAATGGAGGCCTTGTGGATGTCACAAGAAAAGACAACTTCCCATTCTTTGTAAAGGCAACCAAGAATGGCGTAGAGTCATTCAGGTAGTCTAAATGTTATGTTGATATAATCTGAATTCAGTTTGTCCACAATTCAATATCCACATGAGAGTTATTCACTCTAATCTGCGTTCTGTGATTTTCTTTTCAGTAAATACAAACCTGGCAATGCATTTACAGTGTCGAGAGTGGAAGGTGAGTATTGTTATTGTCTTATCTTGATAATTGCTTTTCAATACATATTTTTCAATATGAAATCAGAATTACCATGTTTTTAGATATTTCATTTTAAGTTAATATATTGTATAAATGTATAATGTACTAAATTGCAGCTTCACCGTGACAAATGCATAATTACAAATATATTTAAATAAAAATAAATAAATGTATATAAACATACATTGTTGTATATTTTAGTTTAACATAAATGCTTGTCAGTGCATTCAGCAGTAACTTTAAACATATTTCAAAAATAATAGAATATATTTATGAAATTACATATAAAGATGTACTTAAGTGGGCCAAAAAGCACTCTAAAATCCAGCTAATTGCATTTAATATAACTTTAAACTATAATACATTTTCAGTTGCAATTAATATGCTATTAAGTGTCTGAAAACATTACATCCAGTTCACAGTTAATTATGTTATTTCCATAAAAGTATTATTTTTAAAACTATGCTAAAGTGTATTATTATGCAAATATTCTTATTGATCTCAGTATGCAGCCAGCGTATTAATTAAAGCTACTCAGATGACTGGCGAAACATCTTCAGAATAATTTATTTGAATATGAATATAATATTATGATTAATATGATTAATATATTAATTTAATTATGAAATTATAATTTATTTTTTAATATAATAATAATATTAATAATAATAATAAACATTTTGTTATCTTCGACAAAAGGCCTGTTTGACCAAAAATTATTTTCCCCTTTTTTAGAGCAAACAATAGACTGCTACACGACAGTGGCTGAGATTTGTCCCTTCAAGGCGTCTGCCTCTCATTGTCCAAGGTACACTTCAAAGTATTGAAATTCTCGCTATATACGCTCTATATCAGTTCAGTTTGTAAGTACTTTGCTTGTCAAAGTAATGCACCTTACCAGTTTCTCCTCTATCTCATCAGAGTCTTCTGCCCAGCTAACTGCATAAACGAACCTTCATATTGGGCTCCAGTGGTCGGCACCAACATTTACGGTGATGTGAGTACCTGCTTCGGTCCGAGAGTGTCCTTACAGGGCTGAGGGATGAGAAATGAGGGAGAACAGGCATTCGTAGTCAAGCACTTACGAGTGCTAAAGTGAGCGTGCTGCTCTTGTGGTGAGGGTCGACCGCGGGAATTGTCTGTGTGAGTCTGAAGGGAGTTTTCGATGGAGGTGGTCGCCATTGTCGCCACTAATTTCTCTCCCAGAGTGTAGACTGACCACAGAGCAGCAGCTGGGAGAGCAGCTCTCTTCACTGACTCATGCATGCCTGAGGTCAGGACTCGGCATTACAGACCACTTAACTGTTTAGGGAACAGCTTGCTGTGTAACTTCAGTGTAACAATGTAACTTCATCATTGCAGAGGTTCTTTATTAACTTATTAATCAAAATTATGACACTAATTCATTTGAAAGCCCTCAACTGAATGTGCACTTGTAGTGTACTTTAAATCTTAAAAGTATATTTAAAAAAAAAAAACTTTACTTGCAGATAATATATTCCTAATGAAATAAAAGGCCACTTAAGTGTACTTAAAGAAAGACTGTTTCTTAACTTAAGTACACTTTTAAACAGTTCACTTTGTGATAATGTTTTACTTTAAAGTCCATTTAAAGTGGGGAAGTCGTGGCCTAATGGTTAGAGAGTCAGACTCATAACCCAAAGGTTGCGGGTTCGAGTCTTTGTTCACTGCTCTGTGTGTGCACTTTGGATGGGATAAATGCAGAGCACTAATTCCAAGTATGGGTCACCACTTTCACTTTTTCACTTTCATTTAAATCATTAAGTTTTATTAATCTTTTTCACTTTTATCTTGTTTTGATGTGTTGGCTTCAATATTACATTTATTATAAATATATTTTAAATGTACTAAATTGCAACTTCATCAGTGTAATTTAAAATATTAGGTATCAATAGAAATGACATTAAAGTATATTTTAAGTATATTTTAACAGTATTAGTTAGTATTAGTATTAGTTTAACATGAATGCTTGTCAGCACATTTAGCAGTAACCACTTTCACTTTCATTTAAATCATTAAGTTTTATTAATCTTTTTCACTTTTATCTTGTTTTGATGTGTTGACTTCAATATTACATTTATTATAAATATATTTTAAATGTACTAAATTGCAACTTCATCAGTGTAATTTAAAATATTAGGTATCAATAGAAATGACATTAAAGTATATTTTAAGTATATTTTAACAGTATTAGTTAGTATTAGTATTAGTTTAACATGAATGCTTGTCAGCACATTTAGCAGTAACTTTAACCATGTTTCAAAGATAATAGTAATTTTAAAATGACATATAAAGATGTACATATAAAGTGGGTCAAAAAGCACTCTAAGTTTAATCTAATCATGTTTAATATAAATATAAACTATAATACATGTTAATTTAATTACAATTCACATGCCATTAAGTGTCGGAAAACATCAAATTCAGTTTGCACGAAACTATATTCTTTTGAGGTATGTTATTTCCATAATAAGTAGTTTTTTTAACAGTATGCTAAGGTGTTCTTCAATTCCACAAAAAGAAGAAAAAAAGAAAATACTGTCTATTACTTTCATGTTTTTCCAAACCTGTATAATTTTTTTCTTCCTTTTGAAATAAAAGGAACTTCTGTTCATGATCTTGTTCTTTTTAATATAACGAATGAGGACTCTATTTATTCACTTAATTCAGTCTGTATAGTTTTATGTGAGGAATAGATCAAAATATAAGTTATTCACTGATAATCTTTAGCAAGCTATTTAGAGAGCTGTCAAACAGTGCGAACTCTAATTTGTGAATGAATCATCCAGAAATGGATCAGCTGGATTCATCGCAAAGATCGGAATCAAACTGTAAATTAAATTTACAGCAATTCAACAGTCAGTCTTCAGTTATTTCTTAAATTAACTTCAATCAGGCATGTCTCGTTCTCACTGGAGGAGAGAGCTAGAGTGGAATGGCCTGGTTGTGTAGTGGTGTATGAACTCAAATGAACTTGTTGCCTTTTGGCTTGTTACGGCTACATTCCTGTGTAAAAGCTGAGCGTCTGCATAGCTGGCCTCAGATCAGAGCACGCTCTCCAGCAAGCATTAATTAACCCTCATTATTCAGTGGCTTGGACTTGGTAATTTGTGAAGGTAGTCTTTGTTTGAAAGTGCACTTATACTCAACGCATGAACAATTGGATGAGCATTATAAGATAGCGGCACCCAGATGTGTGCGATGAGCTGTGCACTTTCATTACTTTTCATTATTACTGAATGGTTTTGTGGACAGAGGCAGACAGGATTGAACCTTCTTTCCAGGTTAAAAGAATAAAACCTGAAGGTACATGCAGTTCCAGAGAGTTCACTAAGCTGCTCTGAAGCCAGGCGTCTGGCCAGCTTGCCTTTTCTGGAGCTCTTGAGCTCTGGCCTTGCTCTTGTGCGTGCCGTAGACATCGAAGTGATGTCTTTTGTCAAGGCTCCTTTAGACTGTGTACATTTCAAGGACTGTTGAATAGAGCGTGGAAAACATAGTTGCATGGTGCTATGGCCAGTGTCACTATTACTGTTGCTCATACTTACGACTTTTGTCCAGATTTCTGCCCGATTTACAGCCTGGAGGAGTCAACACTACACTTTTAAAAATAACGGTTCCAAAAAGGTGATTTTCGCATGATGCCATAAAAGAGCAAATTTTGATTCCCCAAAGAGCCTTTCAATGAACACTTCTTAAAAGAACCATTTTTTTCTTATTAGTGTGAAGAATTTTGTAGTGTTCTAAAGAACCTTTTTCCACTATAAAGCACCTTTTGTGCAATGGAAAGATTCAATGGATGTTAAAGGTTCTTCATAGAACCATAGATGCCAATGAAAAACCTTTATTTTTAAGAGTGTAGTTGACGAAAGCCAGTCTGCAAATTTGGGCAATCAGACAATCATGTAGTGAATGATGGGTACAGACTCCAGTTTTTTAACTTCTTAAATTTTGATATTTTGAGCTGATTTTAGAACACATATGTGACCCTGGAGCACAAAACCAGTCTTAAGTCGCTGGGGTATATTTGTAGCAATAGCCAAAAAAACATTGTATGGGTCAAAATTATCGATTTTTCTTTTATGCCAAAAATCATTAGGATATTAAGCAAAGATCATGTTCCATGAAGATATTTAGTAAATTTCCTACTGTAAATATATAAAAACGTAATTTTTGATTAGTAATATGCATTGCTAAGAACTTCATTTGGACAACTTTAAAGGCGATTTTCTCAGTATTTTGATTTTTTTGCACCCTCAGATTCCAGCTTTTCAAATAGTTGTATCTCGGCCAAATATTGTCCTAGCCTAACAAACCATAAATCAATGGAAAGCTTATTTATTCAGCTTTCGGATGATGTATAAAACTCAATTAAAAAAAATTTACCCTTATGACTGGTTTTGTAGTTCAGGGTCACATATTGTTTTCATTTGCCTTGAGTCTCTTACCATGTTTCTACTTGTTTGTTTGTTGTGTTCAAGAATGACTTGAAAGTCTTGTATTGTCATGTGCTATCCTCAGTCGTTCAGTTATTCTCTGTAACCATTTACAAAGTCAAGTGTTTTAAAATCTGCTCAGATTTTAAAACTTGTGTAGTGTATTCCAGCCTTTAAGGGTTCATGTGTCATGTGGTGTAACCTTAATCATTAAAAAAATCATTCATTATTAATTTATAAATATTATCTAGTATACATTTTCAACCTGAATTAAACTTACTTTGTCATAAAGAGGTCAAACAAATATTTTTTTCTAAGAATTAATAATAAAAGATTATGCCAAACTACTAAACATATTTAAAAATGATGTCAAAATGTAATAATAATAATAATAATAATCTTTATTTTTCTATAGCGCCTTTAAATGTTACTTCTCAAAGCACTTTACATAACAAATAAAACACCAAAATACACCATGTAAGAATAAAAAAAAAAGAAGCAAAAAACACATTTAAACCACATTAGAAATAAAAACAATATAAAATGTACATAAAGATTTAAGTAAAAGCTACCCTAAAGAAATAAGTTTTAAGGCGAGATTTAAAAATGTTAAGAGAATTTGCCTGCCTTATTTCAGTAGGAAGAGATGTATGTCAATTCAGAAATTAAAAACATGCCCATTAAGAGGTGTATTTAAGACATTGTATGTAAAAATTGCATTTTTTAAAAATATATTTTTGCATTATGTCATTGACCCAAAAAGTACAGTTTGACATGACTGTTCATAGAAATGAACTTGCATTGGTTGTGTTATCTATTTGCACCCAGTGCATGATATGTGCACACTACAGGTCAAAAGTTTGGAAAGTCTCTTACGCTCACCAATGCTACATTTATTTGATAAAATAGTTAAAAACAATACTGTTGTGAAATGTAGAATAACTGGTTTTTATTTGAATGTATTTTAAAATGTAATTTACTCCTGTGATGGCAAATCGGAATTTCCAGCCATTACTCCAGTCTTAAGTTTCACATGATGCTTTTCAACATTGATAATAATAAGAGCCATTATTAATAATTAAGCACCAATAATAATTGAGCAGTGAGCATGAGATTGAAAAAAAAAATTAATTATACCAAACTTTTGACTAGTAGTGTACACAACAGATGTGCAAGTTTGAGGAAGCATGATATAAATCCTCCAGAATGAAGGTCAGTGGATCTACTTATGAACACTGGCATGTCGACTAAAAGAATACGCTTTTGTCTCCTCATGTCCAGGGCTCCAGTATCTGCCGAGCAGCTCTCCACGCTGGAGTGATCAAAGCCAGCGGCGGCTATGTGGACCTCCTGGCTCTGGATAAGAGGAAAAGCTACACCGGGACCTTGAAGAATGGCATCCAGTCCGAGAGGTACATGTCCTGTATCTCGCTTCACCTCTGCTCTCGATTCCTTCCTTCGCTTTCTCTCAGTAACTCAATTCAGTGGTCAGAAGCCATGATGGGCCAAATCCGTGGGCCGTTGGTGGTTGAAGAGTAATGGTGTGGTTTCTCTTCGAGGATGGACCACACAGGGGCTCTTTGCTGCGCGCAGAGTGCTTAAATCGACAAAAATCGACTCCAGTGTAATGAAATCTAACACTTGAATCAAACACCATCATCGAAGGAATTGATCGTGGCCTCTTAAATGCTTGCCAGCCTTGACCGGCCTGTAGACTGAGCATAGTAAAGCTATTCACTGACAGCTTGGATAGATTTGCTCCTCACCGTACGCTATTCATATGATGCAATCTAGGGGAAATGGAGGGCAACCAGTCATGTGAATTTTGCTTTATTAACAGGGAAGTGTTCACATGCTCTCCATATTAACACTGGATGGAACAGTTGTTGGTGTCTGACTCAGTCAATGATAATTACAGCAAATCTGATGCCAACGAAGCAACATATCCAATACACCACCACCTGAAGGCCAGTCCATTTCTGAATAAATGAATAGGCCAAGAACAGTAGTCAATAATGGCTGCTGGAAGAAATCTGAATGGAACCACAGCACGAGATGAACTCTGAGCCAGTGTTAATGTCATGCTTTCCAGAGCTAATCTGAAGCATATACACAAATAATTGAAGTTGATTAGAGGGCAATTACACTCTGGAATTCAACATCTACTAGAGTTAATAAGATCCAACCCAAAGTTGAATCCCTATTGTTTCCTTTCTTACTGTCAATTTATTGTATTGAATGTGCACTTGCAGTGTACTTCAAATATTAAAAGTATATTTAAAAAAATTATACATACAGATATCATATAATAATATAATAATAATGAAATAAAAGGCCACTTAAGTGTACTTAAAGTGTAAAGTAAACTTTAACACTTGTTAATTTTTAAAAAGTGAACTTTGTAATTTGACTACAAATGTAAAATTATAATTTCTAAATGCAATTTAAATGACTGTTTTAATACGTTTTTAATATAATTTGTCATGCTTTAAAAAAGTACACTTATTTTAATGAGTTGACTATCATAATAAAGCATGTGTAAAGAATTTTTAAAATATTTTTTGTTATTTAAAATTACATTTAAAGTTGATGTATTTTAAATGTGCTAATCAAATGTGTAATTATGACATACAACATACATACTTCAATAGAAATGATAGCAGTACACTTTAACCATAGCAGACATTAGAATTATGAAATTTCATATAAATACGTACTTAAAGGGATAGTTTTCCCAAAAATGAAAATTCTGTCATCATTTACTCACCCTCAAGTTGTTCCAAACTTGTAAGAATTTCTTACTTAAATGTAACTTTAAACTTTAGAGTTGTTGTTGTTGTTTTTGATCCACCGAAACAGGACTTAAAGGGATAGTACACCCAAAAAAGAAAGTTCTGTCATTTATTCACCTTCAAGTTCCAAACCTGTATGAATTTCTTACTCATATAAAAGATATTGTGAGGAATGTTGATAACCAAACAGTTGCCGGTCGCCACTGACTTCCATGGTATGGATGGAAAAAAATACTATGGAAGTCAATGGCTAGCAGCAAGTGTTTGGTTACCCACATTCTTCAGAATATATTTGATATGAGTAAGAAATTCATATAGGTTTGGAACTTGAAGGTGAAAAAATGACAGAATTTTCTTTTTTGGGTGAACTATCCCTTTAAGTCCTGTTTAAGTGGACAAAAAAACAACAACAACAACAACTCTAAAGTTTAAAGTTCAGCTAATTGCATTTAATACAAATTTAAACTCTAATCATTTTCATTTAATTGCAATTAACATGCAACTAAGTGTCTGAAAACATTAAAAAATATACTTAAGTGTGAACTGAATATAAGATCTTAGATATTTTTCACAAAGATCTGTTCATAGAGTGGCAAGTGTGTTTTTTAAAGTAGTTAATTGTTTGTTCATTGTTTTCTTTCTCTTTTTTTTCTTGCAGTAAAAGCAATACAGAAGGCGGTTCGTTCCGTGTCTTCGCTGTTAGAGAGTGAGACGGCACTGACGACACACAAAAGATCACCGATTTGCTCTCAAAAGTCAGGACATATCAAAGGAAATGCAACACTTCGGACTCTGTCTTTGGGAGGAAAGAGACATTTACAGAAGACCAAAGGATCTGTCAAAGTCTGCTAGCTCAATCCATGGGCTTCCAGGGGTTTTATATGCAATTGTGAACAACATTTTTAAGCACACATGCAACTCTTAACAAAATGCAGTGTGGTAGAAATGGTATTTTAACAGCGGTGCTGGTTTTAATCGTTGTTTTTTTTGTTTTTTTTTTAAATCAATGAAGTCAGTTTATTTTTTGATTATATTCTATTAGTTTTAAATACATGCAAAATCGCTAATTTCCATACAAAATGCATATTGATTACACTGTATTTAATCTGTACAGATATTTTGTCGATTTGTCAGACTTGTTGTGTTTCGCATTTTTTTGCTTTATTTCATTAATCATTTTTGAAGCCGGAGCTGGAAAAGAGGTCAACTTATTTGCTTCAAGAATTATTTTTCCCATTCAGTTTATCCATAGTGAAAAATATCCAACCATCTCCAAGATGAATCACCAAATTACAAACCTATTATGAAAATATAATTCCGAGCTCAGAGCTCATGGTACGTCTGTCTCAAAAGTTTATGCTTTATTGTTAAAATCAACTTCTTTATGACGAAAATGAGTGCGGATTTTAACTTCGGGAAACTTTTGCGCTCTATTGCAATAGTAGTTGAGTGTGTACAGAGCAGTAGGGGGGATTTATTGGACCTGAAGTGGGCAAACAGATGCTTCACAGAGAAATGGCAAAGAAAAAGAGGCAAAACTCCAAGCAAAAGAAACCTTCCCTTCATAATGCATGCAAGCCTTCCAGAGTCAACACTACTCAGACATTATGGTAAAGGTGTAAAAACATTGCAACAATGTTCAATCCCAGGAGAATTCAGTCACAGAGTGCATGTTTAGGCTCATCTTTCATCATGGTACCTTCATTTATGTTATTTATTATTATGCTTCCTTCAACTCCTGCTCAGAGCTGCAAATTCTGTGGAACAGAACCAAATATTTATGAATGTGACACATGATATATGCCCACTTGAGACTGAAACGTCTGTCAGAGTCTAACATGTTCCCATTTGGTTAAATGCTATACAAAACCCAGAGTTAATCATTACTGCCAAAAGCAATTTCATTAGAACTTTAACTTTATTTTTTATTTCGCACGGAATGAAACCCAAGTGCACAGTGCCGACCAAACACCGATTTTTAAAAATCACATTATACTGCAATGTAATAGAAACGTACTTAAGCTGAAAGTCATGCCTCTGTGAAGAAAGTATGTCAACTTCTTATCTTAATGCATATTTCTTAGTGTTTATAGAGTCCCGGATTTAGATAAAACGTGGATGTTCTTCTATGAAATAAGGGCCGTTGAGGACAATAATCCCTTTGAAGGCTTCTGTGTTGCTGCGTTTTACTTTTCACGTACTTTTATTTTCTTTGTAACTTTCTTGAAGTGTTACCTCAGTCCTGTTGCAGCAATATATTTGAGTATTAATGTCTTTAGGGAAATAATAAATGTTTGTACAGTACAACGGTTTGTGTAAATATTCAGATTTGTGCTTTGTTTTCAAGTCAGTAATGTAAAAGTTTGAAAGCGTATGTCATCTGTGCCTTTTTAAAGCCTGAGGATAATTGTTTTTGCACAAATTTAAAATTAAGACTATAAAATCTATGATACTGAGAGAATGTCTGTCTTTTGCTTTATAAAACACATCTTTATTTTACCACGTGAAATCAAAACCATATCAAAAACTCCCCTAGACCACCCAAGTGCTGGTCGACTCTTCATACACCACTTTTCAGTGAATAAAGAATAGTAGGAGTATACATATTTCAGATTATTCAATATAAATGATGTAGACTTCAGTCAGGGTCATCAGTGGATGCATTTCATGTTATAAAATTAATTCTTGGTACAAATACTTGAAAGCAAGTACTTGTTGGAAAAGAGATACACTAAATCAGTTAGGCTCTTAGCCAGAACACATTTTCACTGAACAGTTTATAAAACAGGTTGTCTAAGCAAATGGAGATGCATGTTTTATGTCACAAACCGGCACAGTATAGAGCATGACAAAAGATGCACTTTATTATGAAACTTTAAATCTGCACTTTTGAAAATGCACTGTTTAAAAGAGTACTTAAGTGTTAAGAATCATGAAAGTCTCTTTATGTACACATAACTGGCTGGTATTTTTTTTTTTAAATATACTTTTAGAATTAAAAGTACGCATTCAATACTATTCAGCACAATTCTTTTTCACAAGGGTAAGAGAATCAAAATTGGCAGTCACTTGATGGAAGAAAGTCATATTAAGCAGACGCCCACATGGACAGGTTGCACGATAAAGGACATTTTGGTAACCCTAAAGGGTTATTAGGGAATCATATCCACTATTAAGTTGCTTATTAGCATGCATATTAGCATGTTGACTGTTTATTAGTACTTATAAAGCACATATTAATGCCTTATTATGCATGACCATATTCTACATCCCTTAACCCTACCCCACACCTAAACAAAACTGCTACAAAAACGACCTTATTATCAATAAGCAGATACAGTATTTAGGAGTTTATTGAGGGGAAACTCTGTTGAAGGAGAACATAATCTGGACATACACTAAAATGCTGGAATGACATAATGTTGAACTGTGCTGCATTACTCTTCAGCCCTTTAATCTGTTCTTCCTCATGTCATGATGGAGACAAGAAGGAATTCGCCAGGTTTACCATAATGGCAACTCTGAATGTTTAGAACATGCTGACACTTCAGACCTGCGTTTATTGAGCAGCTTTTGCGGAAAGTCAAGTACTTGCTGTTTAAAGATACTCTCTTGAACATTACTAACATGCATAAGAACCGTGTTGGGTCAAAAACCCTTCTGTGATGATGACTGTATGTGCAATAGTTAATGCGAGATCTCTTTAATATCTTCAGTTCTATACAACAATGCGAGCAAATAAAGAGCAAATGTAGACTTTTTCCACAAATTCCTTCTTTTTTCCCCCCACTAAATACAGGGCTGATCTACTTTAATGTCAAACAGCATTTCAAGGTTTTGTGGATTAGAGGGTTATGTATTGTTGTTTTGAATTGTGACTTTAATGATTACCTATAATCAGTGTCTGAAATCCCACCGCCGACTATAAATGTTTCATTTTGGTCTATATAAATCTTACAGCTGTAATTAAAGAGAGCTGTTGTTGGCATTCTTACCCTGGCGTTTCACACTTGCTTGTGCTTCCTCACCAACATGTGTTTTAAAGCTAAAAGACATTTCTAGGACATGGCATTTGGTAATTGTATGAGTCATTCAGGTCATTGGAATTGGGACAGATTCTTAAAGGTGATATGTATTGTTTCTGCAAAAAGATGAAAGAGAAAAAAATGAAAAGATAAAAAAAGAAAAGATGCAAAAACGAGGACTGATGTCATCTTAAATAGTGAACACAAATTCAAAGTTCTATCTATCTATCATCTATCTATCTATCTATCTATCTATCTATCTGTCTGTCTGTCTGTCTATCTATCTATCTATCTATCTATCTTCTGTCTGTCTGTCTGTCTGTCTGTCTATCTATCTATCTATAATATATAATATATAATATATATAATTTCAAAATGTACAAAAAAATGGCCAAAAAATATGTTTACAGTTTTTCTCAATTGCTTTGGCTCAATTCTCGAATGAAACTTTTTTTTCCCGAAACAATAAGTTCAGATCTCTGAACAATTAGCTTCTTGTTCACATCAGATTGGAATTTCTTATTGATTTGAGCAAATTGCAAATACTTTGGCACATGTGTGCAAACAGTAAGTACAGTTTCATTCGAGAATTGAGCCAAACCAATTGAGAAAAACTGTAAAATAAATTTGTTTCAAAACATATTTTTGAAAGCAAACATATATTTACAGACATTACTAACATATTTTTAAAAAGCTTTTAAAATATTATTTTGCCACATTTGAAGAAAAACCTCATTTGTTGTGAACATATAACACATTTGAATAAATATCAGCAAGCAACATACTTTACAATGTAAAAATTACAATCTTACAATATATATATAAAAAATTATACATTATGAAATCCTTTTAAATCTAGTTTTGATCTAGGCTATTTGTAACGCCCCTGTGGACTGTTTATTGTGGTTTCTTCCCCTTTTGTTGGTTTAGCCCTTACTATTATCAGTTAATCACCTCATTGTGCTCACCTGTCTGCCCCTCGTTATCCACCCTATATCAGTTCCTGTCCATTATGTTCCAGTTGGTCGGTTATTGTGAATGTTACCCTGAGTGTGTGTGTCTCACCTTCCTGAATCTGCCTTGTTGTGTCTACATTAAAAGTATTATTGGAATCCTTGTCGTCCTCGTCGTCCTGCCTGCCTCCACACACTGTGACCGTGACAGAATAACCGACCCCTAAGTAACGTATAGCTGCGTCTTTCCCCTTGTTTGTTTTTCCGTTTTTTGTCAGTTTTTATTTTTTTGTTATGGATTACCCCGCCTTCCAAATCCTCCTGCTGGAGCAGGGGGAACGCTCTCTTGAGGACCACACGAA